CCCCTACTTTTCTTTTTTCGTTTATTTAATACATCAATTTTCATAATAACTATACAAAAACAATTAAGTTTTGCATTATGTGCAAAGATATATTAAATGATTTGATTAATAATATAAAATAAAAATTTAATACATTTATATCACCTCGATGGAAAAGGTCTTCATGATCAAAAACCAAACTCAAGGTGGGGGTGGGCATTACCTTTAAAGGCAAAAAGTCTTTTAAAGGAAAAGATCCTGCTACCTACCAGAAGTGACAAGTTTTATACAATCTAACAGTGCCAATATGCTCGTTTCCTTTAATTATATACAGTTTGAAAAACGATACAGTATTGGTAAATAATGTAAGGGTCGACATGCACTTGAAGCGATGAACTCCTATGGGAAACTAGGTGAGGACGTAGCCTTTCTCTATGTCAAAGCTTTAATAATTATTCATTAACCAAGAACAGGCAACTCGAGAAGATACAGTCCACGACAAACTTGGCATTTGGTTCGATGATGAACTAGGTTCGATCACGTTCTTCTTTTTAGGCAAATGGGTGTTTTTCTTTGACGTACGCTGGAAGCTCGTGCTTTTACTATCGTCAACAGTTCAGACATTCTATAGTCCAAAAAAAGAAATTGAACTAATGTTCATATTCTGTCCAAAACTCACTGTATTAATGCACGTTCAAAAATTTTAGTTGATGCTGCATTTATTTATAAGTTTTAAAAGTTTGAATTCATTATGATTCATTTACATGTAATGTTTTTGCTTAAAAAATTATATAGATTACATGAAATGATTAACTTTGAATTACTTTACGTGGGCTTTCTAGGGCTAATTATTAATATAATGCATTATTAGAGGTGACAATTTAGATTCTCACATTGTATATGTGCCGGTTATCAAAAGTCATGCTAATTCCAAATTTACGGCTCAATTTATTTAATTAATTAAATTTTATTAGGAATGCCCCATTGTTTTCTAAATTGATCATGTGATTTAAGATTTTTTTTTCATAAATTAACACGTTCTGTTTAAATACATTGTCATAAGTTTTCGTTTTACAAAAAGCAATTTTCATGAAAATTATAATTTTTGAAAGATAAAGAGTGAATTGCTTTTTGGCAAATCACAACAAATTTTTAAGGGCAAGGTGGGTGAAGAAACAAAAGAGAAAATGGGGGGGAAGATATAGAAGAGAAACACAAAGGGAAGGGTGAGAAACCGAAAATGTTGGGAAGTACGGGGACTGAGAGTTGAAATAGAAAGTGATAGTGGTTGGCTCTCAAGTGGTTGGGCGCATGGGCCATCGGGAGTCAACCTGTCCATATTATCAAGTACCTAAAGTACCACTATCACCGTACGAAGATTGGCAGGGAGACAGAGCGGTGAAGATATGAGAGAGGCGAGCCAGTTCGCCAGCCTGCCAGTGCCGGATTAGATTCCCTTTTGAGTTGTCAACCTTGGCCAGTGCACTTACCTCTAAAGCTAATAGATATCATGGCCAGTTCTTTACACCTACGCCGCCCCCTCAAAACGCCGTTGTTATGGTCGTTGGATTGATAGTATTCGATTTGCTTTGAATCAAAAGTATCGATCCACGTAAGGTGACAATTTCATGTCGGCATTCTATGCTACCCCTGTGTCCAAATCTCAACACATTTAAACATGTTTTTAAAATTAATAAAAAACCATTAAATCTTTTAATGAGATTAGACGTTATAAATGTGAAATGATACGAAAGTGATTAGCCGTAAATGGTTATGTAAGTTTTTAAATAATTTAAGTTGATGCAAAGCATGACATTTGGCTTTATGCATCAACTTCAAGCTACTGTATCAAAAAAAATGACATGTTAATCAATCATGAAACAAAAGTATGGCTAGTTCACTTCTAAACTTACTTGTTTCGTGTCAATGTATGTTCATTATTTTTTTAATCACAACTAATAAAATGAAAACGACACGTTATATTGAAATTAATGAGTGGAAAAATAATTCTCTTGCTCTTTTAAGGCATATCCCTCCTTTCTATTCCATCTTCTCCGATTGTTTATCATCCACAGACTGACTTCACCAAAAGCTAGATGGACTCACTGACTATTTTTAATAAAACGTAGCCCAATTTCTGCCCACTATTTAGCCCTCAATTATTGGATGGTCCACGACCCTACATGGCTTCTATTTGTAGGGGACACTTACCTTTATCTGGGCCTAATATTTAAGAAGACTGAGCCAGAGACCCTCTTTACCCTATTCCTCAACCCAACTCATGGCTAATCGAGCTTTTAAGCTTTTTTGGTTAGAACATGCTCTGTTTCCATAAACAAATAAATATCATTACGTAATTGAGAGGGGCGGCAGACCATGTCTGATGTCTTTCATTCTAGAATTCACACGATAAGTGTTTGTAACGATGACCGCATTTCTTTGACAATTATACTCACAGAAATAAGTGTTAGGATAAAACAAATGACAGATGTACACAAAGTCAAGATAAATACATCATCTTTATCTTTAAAATATTCAGCAGCTGGAGATAAAGAAACACCGTCCTCTTATCTCCAACAGTGCAACAAAACTCTTTGATATATGCTCCCTTTCTCTGCATTCCATCCTGCCACCTTGGGTTGTTGAAACATTTTTGGCTCATCGGCTGCATGATAGCTCAGTTTGTGATGATTAGCCCTTTAAACCTTTGTTTGTCAAGCCCTCTTTTGCCACATTTCCCGGCTCTGGTCCCTCCTTTTTTCATGGTTTGATTATGGCTTTGATTGTAGTGATTCGTATTTCTCTTGTGGGTTTGTTATTGTTGCATTTGGAGTGGTCAAAAGTAGTTAAATTGTCAGCAATGCTACAATGACCATGATACTGAGAGCAATGCTGACAGCAATACGTGGTCGGCTAGAGGTCACTTACGCATCCTTGTACATGGCAGAGGAGGCAAAACAGAATCACAAGTTACCAACAATTTTGGCTCGAAATGATAAACCTAGGAAAGTTGAGAAAATATGTAAGAACAAAGTTTTTGTATAAATGTATGGTTAATTAAACACTTGGCGTCTTAATTATTGCCAAATATGCGAATAATAGACGGAAAAATAACAAAATAAAACTTTCCTTTTTGGGCCTAGGTATCTCCTAATTGGTTTGGGTCAGAAAGGAGTACAATGGATCTTACTGAGTGTTTTATCTTCGGGCTTAGGGAGGCCCGGTTTATCTTTGCCCACAAAGCAAAAGAGGGGTAAAACTGTAATTAAAGTGCAGAACGCCAACCCCTGGAAATCCTTCCCGCGTTTTTCCGCTGCTTTTAGCAGAGGAGGGAATCATTATTCATGGCCGATTGAATGGACTTGATCCATTTCTTATGGACCACGTTACCATAGTTCCAAAACTGACAGTGCGACGTCGTTTTCGAGTTCGTGAAATGCATTTTTAGACAGAAAGTTGGAAAGATTACAAAATATATACACAACATAGTTAAATTGAACTAACTAGCTGAACTCCCTCACTTTATTTATTTATTTATTACCCAAATTTACAGTATCTTTTAGCTTGTGATGCTGTACAGGTAGCAGGTGCAGCTTGTCAATAAGCTTAAAAAAAAAAAAAAAAAGGAACTGAATGGATGCTCCCTTAGCTTAGGGATGAGTTATTGGTTTAATTATATTTTTCAGAAACATTGCAGAGATATTCTAGCTTTTCAGAGAGAGAGAGAAATTTTGCTGATATATAGTAATAACTTTTGTCTGATAACAATAGCTTATTGGCTGTAGGAATGGTGGGTTTACAGTTTCAAGGATCTTGTCTTCTGTTTCAGAAGATTTGTCCAGTGATCTGCAATCGGAGGTTTTTGTTTAAACATGTGAATCAGGCCCGCACTTTGGATGCTAATCAATGTCCCTTTCGGACTTTGTGTACACATCAATTATTCGGACTTTGGGTACATGGGTGATTCAGGTTTGACGTGGAAATATGACGTCTCCCCGTGAATTATTCCTTCTTCCAATCTCATGGCATTATAATTTTCATCTTAGGTCAGTCCAGCAATGAGGACTGGCAGAAGAGGAGAGGGAGGGAAGCTAGTCTTGCAATTTACAGCTAAGGAAAATTATGGAATTTTCGAATAAAAGATGAAAGCAAAGCATTGAATGTTGCATGTGATTGGTGCGGTTAGTTCCTCCCCATGGGTTTAAACTATGCTTTAATGTCAGGAATGATCCACAGAATGCCTTTACAATCTGATATGGGTTCACGTGGGGGCCTAATCCTCGATTTAAGACGGCCTTTTAATTAAAAATTTTTTACGTCTTTTACTTAACGCTTTGTGCTGCTGCCGACTGTCCTCTGCCCTGCCCAGCCCAGCCAAGCCCAGTGATAATTAGCTTGTCATTTGCAGGCTGCTGCTGCCACATCCTCCATTTTCCATTTTTTTTTTGTTTTTTTTTGCCTCAGTTATGTAAATTATGTTTGCAAATTTATTCAAGGAAGCCCACCAATTTGCAAAGAGTATGTGCTTTAGCTTTGCTTCATTCGTGATAATCCTGGAGAAACAGGCAATGGCATCTTTTATGGAAGAAAATCCTTTTTAATCTTGTTTTGCTTGGTTTCCTCTTATTTCTTTGCCTTGATTTTTTTAGTGTACATCATCAAAATTAATAATAATTATTAGAATAAAAGTCAAAGCAAAATAGATCAAACTATTTACGCAAAATTATCTCATATTACTTTTTTTTTTTTGGTTTTTACCTTTTTTTGTCTCCAAAAAACCTCCAACCTAGAACAAACTATATCTCACAAAGCAGAAAAACTGGTTTTTTTTTTTATCTCTTTTTTTATATTTTCTCTTGTTCTAGTACTAGCTGTTAAGAAGTCTAATATTTAACAGCTGGTGATCCCTCTCCATGCCAAGAGCATGAAATGCCCTGATTCAATTCTCTCCATACTCAGCCATGACACACCTTATTGAAGAACTCTTCCAACTATTTAGCCACCTTTTTTTTTTTGCCTCCTTTCTCTTTCATTTTCCATCCTGTATTTATGGTTTTCCTTGTGGTCCTCTTAAAAAACACACCCAAAGCTACTATGTAACAACATCAGACATATAAAGGAGGAGTATTGGTTTTGTTGTGTGAATATCCTAATCTTCCGTATCACTTTTACAGCTCCACTTCACAGGGTCTGCTTAGCTTTCTCCTTTTGGTACTGGGACTAGTATGCGTATGTGAAGAACTTGCACATGACCCAACTGTTGTGTCATCACTTTTGTAGCTCAAGCATGCGGCATCCAGCACCCCAATTGGGCTCTGGGGAACAGATGGGACAGATGCATTGCCTCCCTTAACAGACCCACCAAACAATGACAATCCATCTACCAATTCAATACACTTCAGCACTCTCTCCTGCCCAAAAGAATCAATCCATGTAGGGGTTAATTGACTTAATTCAATCTAATTAGCAAGTAATCATCAAACACAAAATAATTTGATAAACAGAAAAATCAATCATCTAGTTGCCTTTTTGGTTTGGATATTGGTCCACCAAACTTTACCTTTTGTACATACTGAGTGAGAACAGATATTGCTTTCTCAGTGTCCACTGTTTTGGTTTCTACAGCAACAGATATTGCCACTGCTGCGGCAATCTCACAAGACTTGAATTCCAAGAAGTCAATCCCTGCATTCAATTCCCCACCCACCAAGAACATCAGATCACTCTCAAACCTATCTATCATATTTGTGACCACTGCAGACAAAAATTATTGCAAAAATAGTACACTTGTCTCTCTGTGTGCTACTGTGAGGAACAGAGACGGACCTTTTATTGTGCTTGAGATGAGTTGGATTGATCTCAAGATTGAACTTCTAAGTGGGATTTTATCATCATTGAGCTTGTAAAGGAAATAGTCTAAGAAGGAGAATGGGGTGATTGCTTGCATTCTCCATTTCAATGTGCTCAACACTAGAAGCTCCATTCTTTGTATAGTTCTAGCCTCAAACACAAATTTAGATTCTCCCACCTGTTAATCATCAATTCATCAAAACTGTTAGATTCAAACAAAACTATAACACTTAAGAAAGCTACTGACTCTGGTAGATTTTAACCTGTAGATCTAAAATTAATGGAACTTCAGTCTCCTCCATTTTGGCTGCAATAGATAGACATGCCACGGCTAGTAACTGCATCATCCAAGCTTTGCCCTTCTGCAACCATCCGAGATTAGATACAATTTAAGTCAATGGAGTTTAGCGCAAGGGTAGGTCCAGAAAAGAAGAATCTCATGTTTGATTGGTCTTTTGAACTTACGGGTAATTCATAGGCAGAGAGAAACCTGTCCAAGTAGTTTATCGATAAATACGCACAAAGAGGTCCAAAGCCGAAATGGGCATGAACCTGTTGAACAAACAGGGCAATTAAAATCAACCATGAAACAAGCTCAAGAGAAAGGAATAATGAAGGCAAATAATTGAATAGAACAGGAAAGGAAGCATAACAGCTCATACACTACAACAAGGACTAATAAAGAGCAAGGGAATATACAAAAAGCAGAAATAGTTTCAAAGCTGTTGAGAAAGAAATGAAGAGATAAAAACAATTAACAAATCAGCACTGGCCCCAATAGCAAAAAAGAAAAGGAACCCACCAAACGCATTCCAGAATATGAGAAAAAAGATACCAGAACAAAGAGAAAAATAAACCCAGTTCATTTCCTCCACCTCAAGAAGTTTTGAAAACATAATCAGGATTAATCCAAAAAGGGTATTTTACTCAGCAAAATACAGAGGAAAACCATATAAATCTGAAAAGAAAGCCAAGACTTTAACTCCGAAATAATCCAAATATTGACAGAACGAGCCCAATATGTTGAAAAAGAAGCACCCACTTTATAAATCGTATATGTGAAACCTTCATTAATCTAAGTAAAAGGACAAAAAAAAAAAGATAATTCATTTCTGAGTTAACCTACCTTCCAAATCCAATCAACAGCTTCTTTTCTAGCCTCCAGGTCCAAATCTCCACCTTTTAGCCTCTTCAAGTAATCAGCATTTGGCAAATGTTGCTGTTCTTTCTCAACCATCAAAGCCAAACACTCCTCACTCTGCAATGGCAAGCCGTCTTCATCAACACCATTAAAGACTCGGTTTTGATTCGAGTTTCGATAATATCTATGATTCCATGCTGCCCCAAACTCTTCCACCTCAGCGCCCCAACCGCAGTACTCATTATCATTAAAAATGCTGCTGTTGTCTTCTGCACATAGAAGACTCGAAACTGCACAATCAAAACTTGGTGCCATTGCAGACAAAAAAGTCTCAAAAAATCTAGAAAAAGTCAAAAAAAATAAAAAGCTCTCTCTTTATCTTTCTATCTTCTAAACAAGAAGTGGTATTAAGAGCGTGGGTTGTATGTTTATATGTGAACAAATTTTCTTTAATCAAAGAATTGAGGAACAAAGAAATGTTTTTGAAGAGTATAATATAATATGGGAATGGAAACACTATAAAGAGTGAAGCTGAAGCAGTCGCTTGCTTTCTCTCTCCCTCTCTCAGACTTGAGGGGCTTCAAAAGACTGCTCAAGAAGAGGGTCTCTTATGAAGGAAACCAATGCCCTTTTTAGGGTAAAAGCAAGAGAGAGAGAGAGAGAGAGAGAGGGGGAGTGCAACAGTGAAAGAGAGAGAGAGAGAGCATGTAGATATGAGACTCAGAAAGGGAAAATGCAAGCGCAAAATATGGACATTAACAAGGGCAAATACAAGATTTTGTAAAGGAAGAGAGAAGAAGGTTTATTGTCTGTACACAGAAGATGTCTTTGGCACCCTTGGATGTGGGGTGTGTTTTGCTGAGACTCAAAAAAAAAAAAAACCTTTATTAGTGCTGTTGAGCTTTCCTCCTCTGCTCGTTTACAGCAAACCGAGTAATAATTTTTTTGTCTGTTTTGCCTCTTAATTCTTATTTTATAATGTTAGCTGGCACCAAAATTTTCTTTTTTCCCTTCTTCTTTTATATTCTTGGGAATTCTGTAATAAAATTAATGACCCAAGGCCAAGTCTTCCTGTCAAAATTCTTTGAGTAACACAGAAAGTAAACTGTCCAACTTAGAAACATAAAACATTGCCTTTTTACTTTCATAATCTCTGGGCACATACTGTTTCCTTTGAATACTTCCTTCTATAATCACGTGTTTACATTTGTTAAATTTTTGTTTTGCCAAAGCATTAATATTTCTCATTTACAGTCTGGGTTTTACCTTTCTACCCCGGACATGAGGATGAGGGCGAAACGACAGGTCTGGTTCTGTAATTTGGACCAAAGTGGTAGGACAAGATTGTAAGATGGAACAAGGTGAAGTGACCAATGGGGACCGTGACGCTGTCTTTTTCGTCCCATGCCGACGCGTGTCGTCTGATTTTTCAGCTTGAGGCCTGGAAACATCCGTTTCTTGCAGAAATATACAATAATGACTGTACTTTTTGAAGTCCTTGGGACCCTTTTATACGTACTTTGTACATAAACAAAGTATATTATTTTTCCCTTTTATACGCTTTCGGTTATATAAAATTTTATGATTTTATCCTCCCATGGGTAACTCTCTAATGCTTGGAATGTGCTATTTTCAGTATGAACAGTTTCATCCATAGCAATTTTATATAATATTTTTTCGGTACTATTCGATTTTGGAATTTAGTGCGTTGAATTGTTTAAATAATGGGAATTAGCATTACATTTAGTATGGTTACTTCCCTTTGTAAAAGTAAAATTTTTGGTTCCTGATTGTGAATAACGTAATTGGCAATGGCATTTGTTATGAGCAGGAGAAGAAGCAACAGTAACTTTGCTACCCATAACATCATAACTCTGATGGAAAGAAAATGAATTCACTACAGGAAAGATACAGAGCCTGTACCACCATATTTCAAAGCTGTAATGAGGGGGAAGACCTTTCAAACTTTTTATGTATCACATTCAATGCATGTGACCAGAGTTATTTGCGTTTAAACATTTCATTGTTCTGTTCGCGTTGAATGCAATGTTTTTCATATAGAAACAGTGGTTTCATGCCTATGTTTTTATACTAAAATTTGTTTGGACTTAAAGTTAAAAAGAAACTCTAGCAGTCGTTATCAAGAATTCAAGGCACAGTTGGTGCACTGTTTATGGTTAGATAAGTGGAGTTTGATGAACTGTTCCTTATATTTAATCCACTCTGTAACTTTTCTGCAAGTCATTGTTGAATTATATCCTCGTACATTGTCCAAATACTTACTAACCCGTCATAAATACTTTTGAACTTCATTCTTATAGAGAAGAGAATCCAAGTCTTTTGATGATTAAAAAGGGTATATAGAAGCATTTTAGTGAAACAGCATGTCACACATGGAGCCAGCAGGTGCTGTTTCCGGTGACCGGAAAAGCTAGAACTACAATGATGATGCATTAGAATTCTTCTCAAAATCAGCCAACAATTTGAAAGGAAAGAAAAGAAGATTAAAGGGTTGTCTTTTTATTGGCCAAAGAATCACAAAAAGAGATGAACTTTTGCTTTTCTTTCACTGTTAGGAGCGTCTTGATCTTTTGGATTCTGCAAAAGACAAAGAGAAAAAATATATCAAAAAGTAGAACAATTTTTATTTTTTTTGCTCTCTCTCTCTCATTCAGCAAATGACTTGTTAGATTTGGATAATTATCCTCTAATTAGGGACATTAACTGTTTGTCTAATTAGTTGTTTGGTGGACTTCCAAAGTGTGATTACTCAGCAGGGCTGTGTTTTGCTTTCACAACATCGCTTAAAGGCGGTCTCAGTCCTTTGGGTAAAATGCCATCATTTTACTTCCTTGGTAATGGTGTTATAAAAAAAAAAAAAAAAACCAAAAGAGAGGGTTAGGACACGACTAATAATATTTCAGGTCAAAAACAAACTGTAGAGATCAAGAAAAACATCTCTGGACAGTTGGTCCATTCTTTATTTTTTCGTTCTAGATTTCTCATATCCCACACAACTAGATGCCCCTCGACTATGTGGTTTCTTTTTTGTTTATTTCCTCCATGGTCTTTCAATAATCAATGCTTTGCCTGCTTGTTTAACCTTCCCCTGGCGCCAACGTTTTCAGGTCAGCTCTTTCAACACGTTTAATTTCCCCTCAGTACTTTTGTCTCTTGTACTTTCTGAATCTTCATCAAGGGTTTATAGGAATAATGCATATCAAGATTTATAAGAGCAATAATCTCTTAATCCAATGCTAATTAAAACTTAATGTGCTTAATACATATATATATATCATATTTCATTGTTCCTTTTATCCACCAATGAAAATACCATGTACCTTCCACATGGACCTAAAGTGTTAAAAAATAATCACGACTGCTTAATTATTATTATTATTATTATAATAATTATCAATATATTAATTAAAAAGGGTTGTTAGAAGCAACAGTAGAATGTAAATAAGTACTGGTTATTGCTTCTTGAAGTTTTCTTTCCATGATAAATCAATGAATGAAGTTGGAGTATAGGTTTGGAGACAAAGCTTGCATTATGCCATTGTCAATGCTGGTGATAACACTGGTTAATCAAGGTGGGAAAGTATAGTTGAGTGAAATCTAGCATGTTACCAGACAGTTTTTGACGACAAGAAGTTTGAATTCAAATACTCATGATGATCAAAAACCACAAGGATAAAAAACTTGGACTGAATTACGGTTTAACCTTGGATGCTTTGCTTTGTGGTTTCTTAATATGCATTCATGAAGACGTGCTTAAAAATGAGTTGGTAAAGAGACTTTAGGGACACAAATTTCTAACCCTTTTTTTTTTTCCTTTTATTTCCCCGTTCTGCTTTGGAATTTTACCTTTTCACCTTTTGCCAGTTTTCACCCCCAGAGAAATTCCTGATAAAAAATAAAAATATCGAATAAGACTTCACCCATATGGCTCATGTCAGGGTTTTTGTGCTCATCTCAAAGACTATATTCCCACACTTTCCTTTTCCTTCAAGACTTTTGGTTTTGGTCTAAAAGCCAGTCTTCTCTTACTGTTTGAGATCCGAGCTTACCAGATCGAGTGTCATGCCACACCCACTACTCATTTTTTTAACTCATCCATTCTCTTCTTCTTTTGTTACTGCTACTAAGCCCAATGCTAGGTCATATGTTAGGCAGATGGCTATATTTATTAGTCCAATATATTGGCATTTGACTGAATCTCTCTCTCTCTCTCTCTCTTTATTATAGTGTCAAAGATCACAGCTAGCATATTGGATTCTCAACGCATGTTTGGTCATATAAATATTCAGCTTTAGGAATGTGATTAAGTAGGGTTTTCCAATCAAAACTCTTGATTGGTTAAGTAGGCTGTGTGGGTATTATTATCATATGAATATCTCTTTAAGGGCTAGACTCTTTCATTTCCAAGCTTGAATCTAGACATCTATCAACAAGCTAGGGTCAATAATTATTGAGCAAAATAAGGGTCTCCACTCCCCACACTCCAAGTTCATAGTGTCAAATATGTGGTTCAATTGCTTTCAAAATCCACTTACAGGTTCAAGCTATAAATTGGAAATCAAATAATGTTGGACAACAAATAGGTAGTACGAGTTTCATTTCATCAAAAAGAGAATGAATTTATGGGGAAGTTTTGCATGTTCACCAAGGAAACCGTATATTCCAAGCAATGTGCCTTGCATTAATTAAATTAATTTCCCCATCAAAGCCATTTGGAGGAAGCCATTCGCAGTTGATACCAACCCAATATCTCAAGTTAACAAAGTATATATTTACTATGCATATACATATAAATATATTGTGTAGCAGTGAAGGAAAGCTCCAATAGCTGTGAAACTGTTTAAATCTGAACAATGAGACAGTGTTTAACTGCAAGTCAAGGGGGGTCCGAAGTGATCCAGATTCAGGAATGTAGCAGCTTCAGCGCAACAGCTAAATCTAAGATTAAACTATTTGTTTCTACTAGGGCTTTGGGGTTTTAACTAATGATTTTTCTGTTTTCTAATTAAACTCATCCAGAGTCCTTGAGATTCACCACGTCCATAAAATAAGAAGAGCATGCTAGTCATTTTAAAAATCAAGACAACAAGACTTTGGAAACAAAGAACCAAGAAAACAAAGGGTTAAACCTCTCTTCCATTTGCATTAGTTTTAAAAAGACTTGGGGACATATAGGCATGTGCAACACCTGCAACGCCGTGGTCCGCCATCAAAATTAAGCATCCAGAACATCCGCCGTATCTCCGGTGTCTCCACTATTTCACACGACCACCTCCGTAAAAATAAAAAAATAAAAAAAAATCCCACGTGGGTCAAGATCGGGGCCACCCGCGTGCCTCTTCGTGTAAATATTTTAATTCTTTGATGTCGTCTAATATGGGATATTACTTAGTCGTTAACACCCTAATATATTGTGTTTTAATCCAGTTTGAGCTGGCAAAGTCACCGCCTTGCCTTAATCAGTGTCTTTTATCAAAGTGATTAACATATGTATAAAAGGGCATACCGGCTTAGCTTTTGGGAATATAGACAGTAGAGCCGGGGACCATTTGCCTGTAGAGAAGGGGAAGTAGGGAGGCAGTTCTTTCAATTTTTTGGGGTCACTTCTGTCACTATAATAGGGCTTAGTAATGTACTATTACTGATTAAAACTCTTAATATTCATTAGTCAAATGTACTATTGGATGTCTGGCAGCTAACTGACAATGAGGAAGAAGTTGTAGCGGCCAACCTGGCATATGGCTTTCCTGCTTTCGGAATCAAATTAATGGCATGTTGTTGTGGTTGTGAATTTAAAGCTCCCCCTCTAGTTCAGTGAGCCATGTCTTGGCTTCGTTTGTCTTTTCTTTCTTTTCCCTTTCCATCGTTTTTATTCCTTTTCATATGTTTGTCTAAACTTTGCCTCTTCAATAGAAGTACTATACATACTTTTCTTTCTTTATTTTTTTTAACATGTTGGGTTGAGAGTAGCTCCTATTGCTTTCCAAAGTAATTATCTTACATAGTCAATTAGCTTCCACTAGGAGGAGTGCAATATGTTTTTCTTCCCCAGGAAAAGCTTTATCAGAAACTAAATACTACTTAACTATTAGTACAAAATTGTCAGTCAAATAATTTTCTATCAAGTTTAATAGTCTTGCTTTGCTATAAATAGTGGTGCCAACCACTAAACGCATGCCAAATGCTAATATATGTTAGTATGCTCTAATAAGGAGATTCCAGTACAAAAACCAATCCTAAGTTGCCTAAGAGTACATAATTTCCGAAACAAACTGGTCTCATGTTAAACAAGGAAAAAATTTGTATTCAATCAAGTTAACCTTTTCCTATCAATAGACAGCAGTGCTTACCACTGTCCAATGGCTTGCTGATGCAATATGATAGTATGCTTTAATAATGAGGGGAACAGGAAATCAAGGATAAACTTGGCTCTGACCATATTAGCAGATTGCCAGTTAATGAAGAAGGTGTTAGCTAAGATGATTTGATGGAGTGTACAAATGATCTTTCTTGCATGTTTACCTGCCTTGGTTGTCTTGGTTTAGTCAAAAATGGATTTCAGTGCTAATGGAATGCATAATTGGATTGGTCCTCATAGGTGAGCTGATAAGATAAGTACTTAGGTGCTAAATTTTGGGCTTGAAGATTGAGCCCATCTTGGTATCAAAGCTAATGGAAGGTAAAACAGGAGCCGTTAATCCAATGGGCCAAGTAGCAGAGTAAATACAAAGAGCAGACAAGAAGATAGGCCTCTATAATGGGCCAAGAAACCCAACTGATCCAACCGTTTTGTGGATCATCCACGTGGCAGAATCAGAGTAGCACACATTAAAAATTGGTTCTAAAAGTGCCTTGCACTCGGGTGAGAGGATCGAAGTAAACTCTTACTCAAGTAATGAACCTTCTCGCACCGAATACTATAAAGAGATCAACCCAAATGGCTTCCACTCTCTGCTGTAAGGGATCGTGGCTTGTTTCATCCACCACAATACGACGCCGTCTGCCACTAGTCGGTGCGTTTTGCGTCCTCAGTTTGGGGTTTTCCAATCTCTGCCCGACGCTTTCGTCTTCCTCTAACTGCAAAACGGGTTGCGCTCAGTCTCTCCCCTTTGTTCCTCTTTTAAGGTAGTAGTTGGTTCGTACTCCCCACTTAATAGTTCAAAGATTTAATGCTGATTTTCTGTTAATTCAGCTCTAATCTCCGTTGGGTTTCTTGTTTTAGATCGAAGTTTAGTACCCAATCACCAGATAAGCCCGTCCACGCTGTAAAAATGGAAGGGAGTAGCAACACTGTTCCAAGCATCGTCGTTTATGTTACTGTTCCTAACAGAGAAGCAGGTTTTTTTTTTTTTTTAATTCTGTCAGCAAATGGAATATGGGTTTGGGGAAAGGAATAAAATTTAGCAAATTCCAGCATTTGGGAATTTAAAGTTAATTGATAAAGAGTCATTTTTTCAAACGTTTGTCTATGTGTTTCATCTCCTCTGTTATAATCCTATTGTGGGGCTTGCTTTTCAGTATTGAAAAGTATGAGACTTTAAGACATTGCCGTTTTAAAATAAAGAAGTGCATAAATAAGTATAATCCTGTATTTAATTAAACAATTAAATTTGCGTAGTTAATCTTAAATCTTACCAACGGTTTTGTTGGTTCAGTTTGAGGTGTCATACCACCTACGGCATGACATAAATTTCTTAGCTTGTTCTTTTTGCTTCTTTATTTTAACGTGCTTGATTGACCTTGCTGGATTATCCCTTATCATGTAGTGAATGTTTAAAGTAGTTGAAAGTTGATTAGTGCACAACATATATGCAGGTAGGAAGTTGGCTGAAAGCATTGTCAAAGAGAAACTTGCTGCATGTGTAAACATAGTACCAGGTTAAGTCTATAGTTCTTTAATTTTGTGCCATGATATGGCAATCTGTTTCAGCCATTGGAAATACATATTATTTTTGTGTGTGTCATTTTACATGGTCTGTTTAAGGGTATAAATTGCCAAGTTAAGCTTCCATGTTTTAGAAGTAAATATTGAAATCATCGAGCTGCTGTTTAATATTCTTTTACAAGCTCAATGGGTCTCAAACCATTTTGTGGAGATCTTTGAAATAAGTCGTTTCTCTATTGCATTCATTTCAACATGGCAATTTGAAATAAACCACCTTGTAGCTTGAATTTCTTGCTTTGAAATAATGACTGTGGTTAGCACCTCTAGCTGTTTTCAAGATATCTTTTATCTCTTGGTTTTCTTTGTTATGTGATTACATTCTGTTTTATAAAATCCCCCATTCTGAATCGAATTGATTTCTCTCTCTCTCTCTCTCCCCCCCCCCTGCCCCCCCAAAAGACATGCACATCTTGAAACCTTGTTTTTTGTAATTTCATGAGAGACAGATTCTTTATTTCTGATTTATATTGATTTGAACGATAGTTCCAGAAATAGAATTCGTATGAATCATAAATATATTTTGAATGCAGGTCTTGAATCAGTGTATGAATGGGAAGGAAAGGTATGAACTGATACTTTGCTTTTGTTGGATTAATGCAAGTAAAATATTAAGGCTTGAGTTTTCCTGACAAATTGAGAAATACTTTGAGCATCTAGAAGAGAATATCTTTTAACTTTTTGAAGCTTTTGCTTAAGCACCCATTTTAAATGTTTCTGATGGTCTTGTGTACAGCTAAGTTTTTATGCTTTTATGCAAGCAATAACACGGTAATTAAGTTATGTCTTAGCTTGTTTAACCAAATTATGTCTCTATTGGCTGCAGATCAACTCAGATCCTGAGGAACTGCTCATAATCAAGACAAGGCAATCCCTCCTGGAAGCGCTGACAGAGCATGTCAAGGCAAATCATGAATACGAGTAAGCAGAAAGCCTCTTTCTTATATTTTCAACAAAAATGTTAGACTTGAATTTTAAATTGCAACTGGAATATGGATAAGGACTGTTTGAAGAGGAAAAGAATCTGAGTGTTCCTATCCTTTTTGGGACATTATATTCTGTTCACTTGGAAACTTTGGTTGAATCCCTCTAAAGCTTAGAAAAGAGTACCACTTTTAAATAAAGAAATGAAGAACACAACAAAACAACCCTGGCTAGATTGTTATCTTCACCTTACTCGTTTACTTTTTTTTTTTTCTCAGTGTACCAGAAGTAATTGCCTTGCCAATCACTGGTGGTAGCCCCCAGTATCTAGAATGGCTCAAAAACACTACAAGGGACTGAATTTCTCGGATGTAGTATGGTGGCTTGAGTGTGTGAAACCATTTTAAGTGTGTACCTCATGGGTGCTGCATCTCATACATATGTTTGTTGCGCGGATGAATAGCTTCTTCCGACTCGAATAAAGGTTGCGTCAGTTTATTAATATATGAAAGCTAAAATCTGTTTATGATAGGACGAAATGTTTTTATAGTTGGTGATGTTGTAAGTAAGACAAGTATTTGCTTTTATAAATACAACCTATTATCTGTCCTTGCTTATATTCCTTCAATTTTTTAATTCTTAATTTACTAAAGGGAAGTAGAAATACACTACACCTGTCCTACCTCATATTCAATATATATATAAGTATTTCTTCTCGTACTACTTTCTGCCTACTTGCTTTGTAGTTATATGGTGCTTATGGTTGAGGTCGTGATGCTCTACATTCTGTATTTCCAATACTTTTTTCAACCGAATCTTGGGTTTGGGTGGGAGGAGAGTCAGCAATTTGGTGTAATGCTGGATGGGTGGCCATTATTTTAAGACAAATTATAGTTCATAATGAATTACCAACTTTCCATGCTTTGAACTTTTCGACAACTCTCTTACTGTCTTCTGATATTGATGGCGGAGTAACCTTATATCCAATAACTTGGAATAAGTTAGGTTAGGTCTCATTGAAAAGGTACGTAGCAACATTAGTACCCTATGCTTGGGACGAAGTTCTATTTTTATCCAGTTTGAAGACTTAAACCTTAACTAGAAGATGTTGAAATGTAAGCAATGCGTGATTTAACTTTATCGTTTCTTTGGTAATAGTATGAGGTATCAAGCGACCATTACCCTATGCCTACGAGCTTCAGCAATTATCGAGGCTTGTCCCATTTTAATTGCTCATTTTAAAAATTATTTCACTTTGGCATTTTTCCCCTGCGTTTTTTTTAACAGATGGGACACGCGCGAACAAACACACACACTTATCATGGTTGACGTGGCAACAGAGTGTATCACCCACATACGACCACGAATGATTAACGATGACGTATCATCCGTGTTCTGAGCCGGTCTTTGGAATACACATTGCCAACACCATGACAAATTAGCATCGATTGATCCCGCTTACGATGTGAAAGCTCGTCCCCTTAAAGAGATTCCCTTCCGCATCTTTCGTCTAGTTGAGCTAATGCCAAATCACTGCAGGAATGAGCCAAAGGGCAGGGGTAGATTGTTAGCAGCATACTCGGTAAATGCATCAGGCGTTTTTTACTTTGGCTATTGTACTCCTTACTTTCAGTTTTAAATCCCTTTTCCTCCCTTGTCGAAAGCAAGACGTCCCTTGTCCTCCCGCTCATTAATGCAAATTCTTCCCAAGCATGAATATGATATCCATTTTTTTCTTTTGCCACCTTCAAGCAGTCAACTACAATTGGAAAATAACTACTGTGCAGAAGATCCAGCTAACTAGAAGGCAAATGCTACCTATCCAAATCACTTCCAAATCCCAAAACAAGTTTAGTACGAGTATAGCAACATCATGCTAACGGTTGCTTTCCATTTTTAAATTACACACTTTAATCAGCATAAACAAATGACATTCAAAGCCCACCTCCTCCAGAAGAAGAATAGGACCAACAAGACTTTCAACACCTTCTAGGGTTCATCTAACTGGTCCTGCATCACAAACAACATCACATAGAGTTAGGCACATTCCAATTGGATGTCTCAAAATCCCCATTACCATGGTCTTCATGTGTGTGTGTGTGTGTGTGTGTGTGTGTGTGAGAGAGAGAGAGAGAGAGAGAGAGAGGGTGCACTGACCTGCACATCCGAAGTCCAGAGAGTGAGGTTATCCCTTAGGAGTTGCATAATGAGAGTGCTGTCCTTGTATGACTCTTCTCCCAGTGTGTCAAGCTCAGCAATGGCTTCCTCAAATGCCTTTAGGAAACAAGAGATATCTAATAAATATCAGACATGCATTAAAGAAAATTTCATTCTTACTATTATCACCAACTATACAACATCCAGTCATACATTGACGGCACAGAATGTTTCTGAAAAACTAAGTCAACATGCCAAAAATGTAGCATTTACGTAAAGGATCCAAGAAAGAATGTCTCCAAACAAGTTACTGACAGCAACCAAGAAGTAGGAATAATTTCACAGGTTAGCCTCATTCCATTTATTTTCCCCTCATAAAAACAAACAGGGGTGATAAGATGAATAAAGAAAAAAAAAACCCAAAAAAAGCATCTCCTAACATGCATCTTTTGTAATGTTTGAAAATAATGTATTTGTTGCTAATTTTTTTAACTTCCTAACTATCACCTCAAAAATTGGAGGTTACTTCATTATCCAACGGTCAGAAGAAACAATCACGAAGACATCCAATCAAGCCATTTCATTCTGCAATAAATGTTGCTGACCTCTAGCATTTGTTCATTAAGGATTTGGTTTAGCAGATCTGCATCACTACATATATTGACTATAGCTAATGACAGAACTGACATGAGTTTCTAGACAATCCTGATCTGACAACATTCCAAATTGGAAGTGAGTTTAAGGTAATAGAATCAAGCTCATAATCAACAATGCTATATATTCGCAATAATAGAGAAGGAAACTAATCGCCACTTCATTAACTAATGCTGGTTCATGTTCTAATTTAATAGGCCCTGACAAAGTCATCTACACCAACACAATAAGTCAAAGCAACCTCCTCGTAAGCCCTACTACACTTTAAGGCGCAAAATCAAGCATACGCATCATGATATAAAGCGCATATGAACGGTAAAAGAAAATTTTAATAGGCTAGCCAAAGTAAGGGAGAAAAAAGGAGAAAAACATTTTAACTTCACACAACTAACCTTTGAAAAACTGTTCAAGCTAAATAAGCTAAATTAGACTCTTATATGCCAACAAACAAGACACGGGATCAAAAATCAGATTTCTTTTCATTATTCATTGGTTTATGCAGCAGCTGAACAAGGTGAAATGCAATTCAAAGCCTAAAAAACCACGCCTCTGCTTAACTGCTTATGGTAACTTAATTCTTCAATCAAATTGAATTATTATGTTTACGTAGATTGAATTATAAAATTTCCATATGCAGCTAAAAAGGATACATGGCAATCAATTAAACTCACTCAAGACAAAAATGAAGGAATTATGAGATAAAAAGCAAGGAAAACGCACCTGTTTAGCCATGCTACATGCCTTGTCAGACTGATTGAGGATCTCATAATAAAACACCGAGAAATTGAGTGCCAGCCCTAGCCTGATCGGGTGCGTTGGTGCCAGATCCGCCAGCGCAATATCCTTCATTCAATCCAACACAAAATCCAAAGTTTCAACTTCAACAAAGACCAAACGTCCAAGTTCAAAACCCTAACCATAAAATCTTAATCTCTAAGTCAAAATCCATAAATTTACTCCAAAATTCACTATTCAGTCAAAGTTTGGCTTTAAGTTAAAAAATATCAGATCTCGTGTTAAAAAGAATTACCTGAGCGGCCTTGTAAGACAACATAGTATCCTCAGCAGCAGCTTTCCTCTCATCACCAACCTTAAACTCCGCTAAATATCGATGATAATCTCCTTTCATCTTCAAATAGAAAACCTTCGACTCACTCGCGGCCGCCGATGGAATCAGATTCGATTCCAACAAAGTCAAAATACTAGCGCAAACATCCGACAACTCAGTTTCGATCTTCGATCTATACTCTTTAACGAGCACGACATGTTCCTCGTTCTTCCGACCTTCTTCTTTCTGCTCGATGGAGGAAACGATACGCCACGCGGCGCGTAGAGAGCCGATCACGTTTTTGTAGGCGACGGAGAGAAGGTTCCGTTCCTCGACGGTCAGTTCAGCGGCTGGGGTCGAGCCCAGGACAAGCTTTTGCATGAACTGGACCATCTCCTCGTAGCGTTCAGCTTGTTCGGCTAGCTTCGCTAAGTAAACGTATTGGTCGCCGCTTAGGTTGTCGGGGACCGTGGTCGCCATTTACCCGAAATTGGTGGCCTTGCGAGATTAAGTGAGAATGCGTTTTTGGGTAAGTTATTTTGAGGGCCGCAGGCTAAGCCATGTGAGAGATTTTTATGTTTGGGGGGTGAGGGTAAAATGGTAATTCGAATGAATAGAATTAGTACAATTATTGTTTTCTTATTTTATTTTATCTTTTAAAGGGAAAAACGAAAACGAAATGGAAAGATTAGGCCTGATTTTGGGTCAAGGACAGTGGGTTATAGGAATCTGATTGAAAAATGTTGGAAAATTTTGGGACTTGGATTAGAAATCGGGCGGTTTGGGGATAAGATTAACATGTAATTTTGGGACCCAAGCCAGCTTGGAACGGTGCGTTTCAAACCAAAAAACAAACACAGAATGTTTTGCTTTGCGTTTCAATGCCGATATCAACGGCTGAGCTGGCCTTGGGTTTTTTAAATTGTTAAATTGTATGCCTTTTGGCGGCTTTCACTTACGCCAAACATTTTCCTCTTTGTAATCTGTATGAATATCCGCTCCAGCCCAAAGAACATACCAAGCAGGCCTATGAATATGGGCTTGAAATGAATTATTGCTTCTAATAGCTCAATGGGGGAAGAAAAACCAAAACAGAAAAATAATAAACAAACCAACCAATATATAATTAATTGGAAAACAAATCGAAGTTAAATTAATTTTGATGGCACCGTATGGTTTACAAGCAATTCATACATACAGTACCTTTATCATATTATAAGTCTCACTGGGATTTGCTATTGGAGGATCCCGTGATCCCAAAGGATGGAGGGAAAAACATTTTTGATGAATCAGAAAGTTCTTCTTACAGTTTCGGTTCCTGCAAGATGCAAGGGGAAATGCAAGATGGCAAAGACAGTAACTGGAAGGAATGCAACAATGTAAACGAGAACTGCTCTGGGTTCATGCAGCTGAACGATAAACAGAATCGTTGCTGCAAATGCAAGCATTATCAGCGCCACCGAGAGGTGCTGGAAGGTGATGCCGAGTGTCAGTTTCCCAGGGAGAGAGTCTTGGAAATTTTCGTACTTTATAGGAGAAGTCAGAATCGATTGGAACATTATAGCCGAGGTTAAGGAGGTCACCAGGGCGAAAATATCCATGATAGCGAAAAGCAAGAAAAAATGGTGGTGGATAAGGACAGTGATTCCAGTTTTCTGATCCTGACCACCTGGTACCGTGTAGGCTGCTGCATAGGCCACAGTCGCAATGAGAACCGTAATGACAGAGCATGACTTGGCGGTCTGCTTTAACCAACCCTCTGCGTCGCTGAGTAGTTTCAAATGAGTTTTCTCGAAGACGTCTTGAGCTGTCTCGCCTTCGTTGTTGCGATGTAAGGCATAAAATGTGGGAACTATCTTCTTTACACTCTAAATGAAAGAAAGAACGAAATGGAAATTCTACAGTTTAAACAGATTTATATCTCGTTATAGAAACACTAAAGCATTGATCATGCCTAAAGCCTAGCAATAAGAGGATTTATGGAATACCTCAAACCAACGGAGCTCATCTTGCAACTGGAGTGCCGGATTAGGGTGGGAACATTTGCCAATATAATCGCTATATGCAGCATGGTGCAGTAAGTTCCAGCTATTATTATCTACCTTTGCGACCAACCAATTCAGTGCAACTTTCTTCTTCTTCACAAGCTTAAAAATCTTCTTTTGACGATGTTTAATGGCTATGTGCAAAATGTTCTGCCCCATATTACTTACATGCTCAATTGCTTGAGGACGCACCTCAGGTATCCTTTTAACAATCTCGAGAACTTCAGTGCTACTTGCTATCAGCAATGGGGTTAGACCCATGCTTCCTCCTTCTCCCTCCACTGCAATCTCGAAAGATCTTGTATTAGAGCTTGCGGCCTGTCCTTCTCCAACAACAGCAATATCAAAAGTTCTTGTAGGCGAGCTCGCAATTAGTGACTTCTCATCTCTGCTTTGTCCTGGATTTCCTCCGCTTGCTCCTAAGGAAATTACACCTGGATCTGGTTCTACCCCATTGAGCTGCCATGAAGTATCTTTTCGTATCAGCTGCTCAACTAATTTAAGAGCTGATACATAATTTCTTTTCTTCTTCCATATTCTGTCCACCTCGAACCATCCTACATATTCATTTAGCCATTCCCAAGTAGATGACTTATTTTAATGAAAGCATAATGCGTCCTATTATGGAATCACATATAAACGGACATTATATGTGTATGTATATATATATAGGACAACGATCAAATCAGTTGTACCTTTTGCCAGAATCTTCCAACATAAACAGTACATTCTTGAAATGGCTGCAGTTTTATTGTATGGCAACCATTGAGAAATACCATATTAGAATTTGTACTATAATATATTATAAAAAGTAAATGAGAATCAAGTGTGCAAATATGCATCCGAGTATTTAACTCTTTAACTCATTAATTGATGCATGATTTTTTACCTAAAGAGCATGTATATGCACCAAATACTTGTACGGATATATGGATATCTAGAGGGGCGGAGGTAATCCTTTTTGAAGCCCTTTCACAATCGTTCCCTTGACTTGGAAGATAAGGATACCTGAGCTCTGTAGTTGTCATCATCATCTTCACGATCAGGGAGGCCTGCAATAAAAGTGTGATTCAAGAATCGAACAAAACTTTTCAGTATATATATATCCACCATAAATGATTCAGCTGAAGGATGCTAATTAAGCTCTTAAAAAAACTATACTAAACTAGAGAAGTCTTTGCCATTTGTTCATGTAGCATCCGCTCCTAAAAGCAGTTGGCATGTTTGCCAGAAGCTGTAGACAAGTTGTGACACTTTGCTCCTCCAATTCTATTAGTTCACGATCATTCTCTAGTAACCACCAAGATATATCTGCACAAAAGAAAGTACCGTTTTCATCGAAAATGGGAGAAATTATAAAAGATAAAACCATATATAGTATTAGGAAGAAAAACAAAGGAGAGGATAGGAGGAGAATGAGAAGAATACCAAAGCGTTGGGCTTGGATGGCAATATAAAGAATGGAGCTTTTGTCATTTCTGGTGAGGTGTATAGCCATGTCGCCATGTCCATTCCGGACTTCAGAATGCAAGAACTTCACCACATCAAACCTACCAAATGCAGCAGCTCTGAACAAAGGGGTTTCACCTAAAGCATTTTTCACATCGAGTATCTCTGTAGAGCAACGTTTTAGCAAAAACTTTGCAGCTTTAATATTCCCAATGGCAGCTGCCTCATGAAGAACTGTGTTACCTTTGTCGCTTTGTATTAAGGAGGGTTGTGGTGAGAGCTCATGCAAATCTTTACGGAGATACTTGCTTCCACTATAGACTGCAAGATGGAGTGCGGTGTTATTCACTACCGTCGAAGGCGATGCCACGGCGTCCTTGTTTCCGTTATAGAACTTTTTCATCCCTTCCCATGCCTCATTCAAGGCCAATTTATAAGGTTCCGCCATTTTAGATCTATAAATTTCTTCATTTCCTCACACCCTCCCTTATTTGCAAAACAACAAAGGCACATCAAGAGTTTACGTTCCATATGTATGTTTCCTACGTTTTTATCTATAGTTATATTCATACCTACGCACGTAATGCACAGCACGCGTATGCTTCAAACAAACGCAATTACCCAATTATATTAAATATTATAAATAAAACAATCCTTCAATTAATAAATTATTAAAATGATGAGTTTGTGCTTTAATTCAATATGCCGCAGAGTTATAGCTGGTTATGGTAAAGTAATGCACTAAATGTACCATAAAGTATGCATCCAGGTTTTTACTTCACAAATCTTCAATCCCGTAAAAGTATGAATTATATACATATGCACTGTGGCCTGGGGAATTATAATTGTTCTTCAGTCTATTTTTAGTACTTTTTGATGAGGTATACGGAGAAGATGCCATGAGGAACCATGGGAAAAAAAAGGATAAGAAAATCTACTGGATGGGATAAAATCTGTTTAAGTTCTAGAAGATGTGAACCGCGACACCAACTGTCTGACGTCTCTAAGCCAAAACCCAATGAAAAATGCCTGCAGCATCTCCTCTTCTCCAATCACGTGGCAAAGGAGGTTTACGTTAATGCTTTTTCCTTCTGTTCCCTGATGGAAGAATCTGTTCCTACATTTCGGCTAGCATATCAACTGTCATGATATTTCCTGCGATATCCACTTTATTGCCTTGCGCCCTGACTTAAAATAACAACTGGCCAGTTGCAGGTTCCCATATGCCAAATGCAGCTGCGCAACAGTAGCAACTCTTATACATTAAACAACAGTGACGAGTCGAAAATACTCCTTTGCTCAAGTGAAATATTCATGCTATAGCATCCAGTATTCCATTACTCACATTTGTTGCTAACATTTTCTTTTTGGGTTAGTTTAAGCTACTCCTCGCTAATATTAATACTTGAACTAACAAGTTACTAAGACAAGTGTGGGAGAAAAACAGCACTTGATATCCCATTAACTAGCTAGCAATAGTAGATTCGTAGTCCATAAAAACCACTCCTAGCTAACAAGTAACCAATGGCTACAACCCTAGTAAATTAACAAGCATGCATTGGACAATCAGTCATACTCATATCCTCATAAGACGGAGATGCACGAGATGTTACAGATGATGTTAATTTCTCCAGTTCTCTATACACAACTGTAATAGGGCATAAACACATCCAAGCTATTGCCCACATCCCCAACTGCGCGCTGGCAATATTAACAAATGCATGCCTCTCCCTTTGAGCACTGTAACAAATGTACAGAAGAAGGGACTCTGCGCCTCCTGCTTGGCTTACCAAATTGACTGCCTAATCCCAAGACCATTACATGTTAATATAAGGCCTTTGTAACGGTTAAGGTACTCCTGCAGCCAGTGAATTAAAACTTAAAATCCAAATCCATCCAAAATATAAACGTAAATAAACATACTTCAAAGCATGATAGAAGATATTCTTACTATTATGTCATAGTCATACACATGCAACATTCCCTTCGTATCATATTCTGTCCTTTTGACAGGATCACTGAGAACTGTTAAATGAAGCCAAAACAACCAATGGTTAGTTTCGAACACATACTTGTCAGTACTCTTTGCTCATCATTTTAGGAACCAAATGTCAGCACTTAAGCCATAGCTTCAAGTCTTCAACTATATTAAGCACATAAACTCAGTTCAACTACTCATGCTTAGAACAAAAAGTGATCATGACTATCTCAACCATGCCCAGTTTTAACCCCTCCTCTTAGCCCTTGAAGACCATCATGTAAGAACATAGCTACTAAGCTATGAAGCAACAGCAATGCATGGCATCAACAGTGTGGCAACTTTAAACACCCCATAATCATATAAAATCACAAGATCCAATAATTCCAGTAAGTAACTGTCACAAATTGCACTTTATGCCAACAAGATCACATTGGTACGGTAGTAAGTATGAAGTTGTGCATCCTTACCGGAATGCACAAAAGGGGAAAAAAAGAGGTTACCCAAAGCTAAAGATTACTTGCGACAAAATCATAGAGATAAAATCATGTAAACAATTGCAGCCAACTCCAAAAGCAACTACCTACCGCAACATAGACATATGAGCAAACACCATAGTTCTCTCCAAAATAAATCCACAGGAAGGTTAGGACATATAATCAGAAACTGGCAAGTGACAGATCAATCAAAAACATATTAAAATTAGCTAGATGCAATACCGCGTGACTTGCTATTGTACCTATCCTGTAATGATACAAATACCTCTATTGTTTTTCTATTTTTATTTTTGGATGAGTTTTATCGTCAATTTACGTAATTATACTCATGCAAATAATCATCTTGAACAATCCACGTGATGACAGAATCTTTCCATGAAAAAATAAAATGCGGAAATGGAAAATATTTTGGATAAATGATACTGTCCTCCTAGACAAAAAAAAAAAAAATCAATGTAAGTAGGCAACAGCGAAATTGCCAAACCAAAACCCAAAAAGCATAATGGAACGGAGAGAAGAGAAGACGCAGATGCTAAACTTTACTCAAAAAGCAAGCAAACGCATAAACCCCAAGAGAGAGAGAGAGCGAGAGTTACTCTGATAAGCCTCGTTTATCTCTTGAAATCTGGAAGTGGCGCTATCCCCGTTGTCCTTTTGTTTATCCGGGTGCCATTTCTGCAGAAACCAGCTCATACTATTAAACCAAAAAAAAAGGAAAAATTATCAAAAGAAAACACTCAATTTAGCTTCTAGAAAAAGAAAATGGAGAAAAAAAAAAACGAACCAGGGCGAGACGGATATAATTGGAGCGAATAGCATCATCCGTAGCATCGAAATCGACCTCCAATATCTTATAATAATCCTGCATTTACACTCTCAAATTCATAAACATACAGAGTTTGACTTTAATTGGTAAAGAGAAATGAACAAGCAAACATTTTAACTCCAGGAATTTAGTTTACCTTAGGCTTGGACAGAAGAGAAAGGAAGTCGAAATCGAGGTGAGAATCTGGCTCGGGCTGCTGGGGTTCTTGAGGAGGATTTTCCCACTCGACCCACATCGTCGCCATATCGGCCGAGTTATGTAGAAACCGGTGGTTGTAGCTGCCTCTGTTGTGTCACGTTTAGCAATTTGTCTACTAACGAGGGGAGTGGTCTTGTCTGTGGATTCTCGGCGTGCCGCGCACAGCCTAATGTGACAACACAACCATCCAGATTTTTGCTTCCTTCTTTAACTTTCCTCACTGTTTTTTTTTTTTTAAAAAAAAAAACGGACTCTAGAAAAATCCGCCCGAAAATTTCTAGATAATAAAAATTAAAAAATGGAGTAGAATTTTGCCAAAATAAAACTTATTTTCCTTTTTAAATGTTTTGCTAAAAGGTCAAAAATAACATTTACTTTGTAGTTCTATTTAAATAATTTCATCCAACCCAAGTCTCAATTATTCACATATAAGTTCAATCATCAAATAAATAATTTTTCCATTTTTTCTTAACCTTTTTTTCTTTTAACTTTATACTCAAACTTTCTATTTCTTGATATATATTACTATATTAATACTATACCTATATATACATGCACATAGTTGTATGCGTGTAATGTAACGAGAAATTCATCTAAATTTCTTATTGTGCTTGATTCTTCTTGAATCCAAGAAAGGCTAACCCAACAAGTTATATGTAGTCTATTTAATTTGTTCACGACATTGAATGTATGATGTGATGGACTGTTGCGTAGTTCAGTTGTTCTTTTCATGTGTGAGAACAATTTTTATCGAATTAAATTTTTCATTATTAATCAGGTAGATATACACACACATTGGTATAATGTAATATTATATGTTGATTTTTCATTATCAAACATTGTAATATAATTTTACAGTTCTCATTCCAAAAAATGGTAAAATGATTTTGGTGTGTTGGGCCAGATTTATAAGCAATACTCTATAATGCTATATTTGGGTCAACGAGCCCAAATTTTATTGTGGAGCCCAACCAATTTGATCTACTCATTCATAGGGGCTTAGCGAGTTTAAATAGTTTGCTCAAGTAAATTCCAACAGTTACATAGTTGAATAAAAAACACGCACACACATTCAATTTAATTTATCAATCATCACATAATGTAAAAGTCATTCAATAAAGGATTTAACCAAAAATATTGTGTCAATAAATAAACTTGCTATATATAATAATAATAAAAAAAATACAAGTTGGTTTCTTGTTTACGAACAAAATATTAGTAGTTGTTATGAATATATCTATAAATGTTCATTGCATTCTCTAATCTTTAAAATCTCTTCATGTTCAATGTACCTATTTATATCAGTACATCCTCATCTTTTAAAATCATTCAATTTATGAATCATAGATTCTACATCCGTAAAAAATAAAATGAATTTGAATATATAAACATGCACTTTTCTATTTAATTCATATATCATTTAGGTTAAAAACATGAATATGAGATAAAATGTTATCAAAGTAAATTAAAATCTTCACTGATATATAACTATATGAGAGATATAAGGATCGAAAAAAATTCAAACTAATATAAGAATCTTTTTGTTACACAATTGAATGGGATAGAACATCACAAATTTGACATTAGTAAAAGATCGGTTGGACTTGGTATATAAACATGAACCTTAATAGATATATTTTTAAAGTTCGTGATAAGTTATATCAAAGGTTAAAAATCTTTTTTTTCTATGAGTAAATAACTAATGCAATGAGGTATACATCAATCCTCAGTATATAAATATGAGTCTTAATAAATAAATATTTTTAAATTAAAAACATGAACTTGTGTTATATATCTAATTTTCCATACTTGCATAGACTTCCCCTAGGATATATGTTTCATCTTTCATATTTACGTAAATTAATTCATTCCATTTGTTTTAATTTATAAACATATGTATATTTTTTAAACTAAAAACATACACCTATAACATAAGTAAATTCATATTCCTTATTTAGGTAGATTTATTTCGTCCATCTATGTATGCTTATGAAGGGAGGCATTGTAATCGATGGTTTAGACACCTGAAAATGAAATGAAATATAAAATATTCGTATTTTTTAATCTCTTTTCTCTCATTATTTTTTCTCATTATATTTCACAACAGCACTAGATTTTTTTTTTAATTTCTGTCCACAAGACGGTTCAAATCCAAAAAAGGCGATGGATTCTCCGATGTACAATACAACAAAGCCTTTCTTCACCTTCGAAGGGCATCCCTGTAAATATGAACCCTTCAGGGCTTCAACGCCACCAGCAACAACAAAAAATATTAAACCCAACCAACCAATCAACGTGTGAACCAGGTGCACCGCCGCCCGCTCGAGCCACCATCAAAACCAAATTAAAAGACAAAAAGAACCTCCCCAACTAAGCTCCAGCACAGCACATAAAACCCCAAACCATTTCAGTTCATAATTCTCCATCGTTGTCATCGTCTCGCTTTCACTCGTCTTTGTTTCTTCAATGGCCTCGCTATCAGGCCTCTGCTCTTCTTCTCCTTCTTTGAAGCCCAAGCATAACCGAATCACGAAACTCACTCCTTCACTTCGCAAAGACTCGCTCGCATTCTCAGCTCGTTCTGCCTCGAACTCTAAACTCGTCGCGGCTCACTCTGTCGCCCGTGAAATATCTGCCGATTTGTCCAAAACGAACAACGTCGGAGTTTTGAAGCAGGCCAAGAAAGGAGGGCTTGAGAAAGATCCTAAAGCGCTGTGGAGGAGGTACGTTGACTGGTTGTACCAGCACAAGGAGCTCGGGTTGTACCTCGATGTGAGTAGGATCGGGTTCTCGGATGAGTTTGTTGCCGAAATGGAGCCTCGATTCCAGGCGGCGTTTAAGGCCATGGAGGAATTGGAAAAAGGTGCCATCGCGAATCCCGATGAAGGACGTATGGTGGGCCACTATTGGTTGAGGAACGCGAAACTGGCGCCAAGTTCGTTTTTGCGGGTACAGATTGAGAACACTCTAGACGCCGTTTGCAAGTTCGCTGATGACGTCATCAGCGGTAAGGTTAGTTTGGCGGTTCCGTTTTAACTCCCTGTAACAAACTAGTAATAGATCATCAAGTTTCAAGCCGTATTAATTTACTAATCAATTTGCTTAATCCATTTTTAAAATGGTTGCAGATTAAACCTCCGTCTTCTCCAGAGGGTCGTTTTACTCAAATACTTTCAGTTGGGATTGGCGGTTCGGCTCTGGGCCCACAATTTGTCGCGGAGGCATTGGCTCCTGATAATCCTCCTCTAAAGGTATCCGATCAATCACAGCCTTAAGCTCTTCTAGTATTTGATCAAAATTTGTGTTAATTGATTCTGTTTTAAAGTAGTTTATTCATTTGGATTGTGTACTAAAATTCTTTATTCGCAATGAGCTTTGAGGGTCTAGTCTGCTGAGAGTATTGGAGCTCCTTGATATTGTCTATTTGTTAAAGCAATGCACTAACTTCAGTTGTGAGTGGAGTAGCCTCGTAGCTGAACGGTTCATATCATGTTCTCTTAATTGGCAGATAAGATTCATTGATAATACAGATCCTGCTGGAATAGATCATCAGATTGCACAGCTTGGCTCCGAGCTGGCTTCTACACTTGTAATTGTTATTTCAAAGGTTTGCATCAAGTCAACATACTATCCTTGAATATCTCTATGCCATTCTGTATTCTTTTCGTTTTATGGATTACATATGACATATGCTGTTTATCTTGTAACAACTTATCTACTCAGAGTGGAGGTACCCCTGAAACAAGAAATGGTCTGTTGGAAGTACAGAAAGCCTTCCGTGAAGCTGGTCTGGAATTTGCAAAACAGGTTTTGATCTCAGGTTCTTGTTTCTGCTTTTAATTGTTTTCCCCTGCTTCAGAGTATGACTTTAAAATTTTACTTTGGTATTAATTCTAGTTAGGTTGTCATTGGAGGATATCAAGAGGCTTGATAACTAGAGTTAGATGTAGATATAGTTGCATGTCATTTGGATGTATGCTTTTGTAAAATCCTGAAAGTGAAGCAGGTGTACACACATATGGCCATAATGCTTGGACCCAATGGTGTATGGCTTCAAGAATAAACTAACAGATTATGATTCCAATAGAATTTGTTCAGCTGAACTTTTTTAAGTTAGGGAGTCAACCGCTCATCAAATTTGTTTTATTTTTCTAATTCAGGGTATATATTTGCTTTGTCTGATCAAGTACATTTAAGTTTTAGGTGGATGGAAAATTAAAAAAATAAAAGATTGGGGTAAATTTGTAACATTTAATTATATATTATTTTTCTAAAATTGAAATTTTGTGTATATTAAATTAAGTCAATCTTTGCTCGATAATGTATATGTACATAATTCATATTGAGAAAATTAGTAACACTTATTTATATCATTATCATAGCTTCTCTTAAATGCAAAATACAATGCCAAACACGTCTTCACTGTTTTCATTTTCTATAAATAGTGTTTCATTTTGATTTATCAAACACATTTTCAATAAATTAGAAAATAGAAAGTGAAAGCAGAAGGGAAAAATGAAAAATGTTTTTTAAAATCAAACACGCTCTTATATTCTTATGTGGTTCCCCTGTACTCTGGAAGCAGGTTTCCCCTATCATTTAATTCTGAACTTTATATATGTTGCTTATGTTTACTTTTATGCAGGGTGTTGCTATAACACAAGAAAATTCTTTGTTAGACAACACGGCTAGGATTGAGGGTTGGGTAGCCAGATTCCCTATGTTTGACTGGGTTGGCGGCAGGACATCTGAAATGTCTGCAGTTGGCCTACTTCCAGCAGCACTTCAGGCAAGTAATCCATGGATTAAACATTTAATGCAGTTGTCAGTTCACTTTCTACAGTATTTTCTAAGTGAATATAACTGCAGGGAATTGACATAAGAGAAATGCTTGTTGGTGCATCTATGATGGATGAGGCAACTAGGTGCACAGAGGTAAGCTTCATTCGGCTTATTTCTTAATATTTGCTTCAACATATTTTGATACTCCTTTCAAATGATTGAATAGGGGAGGATTTTGTTGAATCATGATAATTGCAGTTTTTACTAGGGTGACTTTAGGTTGCTTGTCTTCATTCCCTCAATGGTGCCTATATTGGAAATTAAGAGTTTAGTTGGCAGTTTCTAAGCATGGGCGAAACTTACTCCTCATCTTCTATTGGAAATGCTACCTTGTTTTAGTTTGTTTGACTCCAGTATCTATTTTGTATCTTGCCTGATTCCACCTGTTAATCCAGTTAAGATCTCCTGTATGAAATGCTTACTTTTTCTTCCTTTACTTCAGCTTAAAAATAATCCTGCAGCATTGCTTGCTTTATGTTGGTATTGGGCGACTGATGGGATTGGATCTAAGGTATTCAACTCTTAACATTATTCAGATCTTATGTTGTCCAAAATTTGGTTTATTTCATTAATGGCTTGTCTTCTTGGGTTTTGGCAGGATATGGTTGTCCTTCCTTACAAGGACAGCTTATTACTATTTAGTAGGTATTTACAGCAGCTGGTTATGGAATCACTTGGCAAGGAGTTTGACCTGGATGGTAACCGGGTATGTTCAACTGTTTAAGATGATTTGTACTACTTCATTTTAGGATGTACGTTGGAGAGTACTTTTGGTTCACTAGTTGCCACTTTGTACAAATGCTTAACTGCTGGACTGTTTCCAGTTGATCACTCTCGACACTCCACATGGTGGGTGCATTACTGGATAAAGCATATGAGCTGATATGAGGATATTTTGTGTTTGGGGAGAATGAATGATGGCTCAATGGGTGATGGAGTCCTTGTTTTGAGTATTCCTTTGGTGTTATATATTCTCTTACGTACCTGGAGCCATTCTAATACATTAATTGTTGTCACATCTTTCCCATTGAAGCTTTTGGCATAGTCATAAATTTCTTTAAGATGGCTATTATGTTGAGGCTAAATATCAGCAATTAAGTGGTTAGGCCACTGGTTAAAACCATTAGTCACTAGTTATATTACTAAAAAATAAGACTTTTTGTGTGTTGATATTGCATGAATGCGAAATAGGAGAACAGTTTCAAGTATAAGGAACCATATTGGAGGCATTAGCCTTAAATAACAAAGTCTGTGCTTTATAATGGAAAACTAATTAATGTTAAATGAGCCAGCTTCATGGAAACTTATCAACATGTGTTACTTAGGAATCTGAACATTAACTGAGGGTGGAGTCTGTACAATATTTACTCATTCATAAACATGTTCGAGTTGCTTTCTTAAATGTTTAGATTTAGTAAAAGTACAACTTCCTAATTCATCAGGTGAATCAAGGAATTACTGTTTACGGGAATAAAGGGAGCACAGATCAGCATGCGTAAGCTTTCCTCATGCCTTCAAATTTATTTGATCTCTGTTTATGTAACCAATGCCCAGGCCTGATGCAGCTTTCCATGTTTTATTAATTTATAGCTATATTCAACAACTGAGGGAGGGTGTGCACAATTTCTTTGTGACATTCATTGAAGTGCTACGTGATAGACCTCCTGGTCATGATTGGGAGCTTGAACCAGGTGTTACATGTGGTGACTACCTATTTGGAATGCTACAGGTTTGATAAGTGATAGTTTTCTAAAACAGCAGGATTTTTTTGAATGTGCACATGATAAAGGCTTATAATGTTTGCATTTATAACCTTGCCTGTGCAGGGAACAAGATCAGCTCTGTATGCAAATAACCGCGAGTCCATCACTGTTACTGTCCAAGAGGTGACAAGCAGGTCTGTTGGGGCTCTCATAGCATTTTATGAACGAGCAGTTGGAATTTATGCCGCGCTTACTAATATTAATGCTTACCATCAACCTGGTAAGTATGTGTTTGTTATCTATTTAAGAAATTTAACTCTTGAAGTGAGCTAAAAATAATATTGTGTGGTTGGGTCATACTTTGCAGCATCGTTGTTCAATCTAAATGTTCTTTGTTGGGTTAATTAATTTGATTGGTCCTTCTTTCTCTATATATCTGCACTTAATCTTCATCTCAGGTGTGGAAGCTGGGAAAAAGGCTGCTGGTGAAGTATTAGCTCTACAGAAGCGAGTTTTAGCAGTACTCAATGAGGCCAGGTAAGATTTCAGATCCTTATGATCAGGGATTTATTGTGCAATTTATCTGAATTATGTATGCGAAATATTTATGCTTCAGGGAAGCAACATACTTAGAACAATTGTATGCCAATTTCTAGACATCCTTTGTGGATGAAATTAGAATGTCTTTATAAGTAACAGAATTGAAGAAAGTTGACTCAAAAGTTGTTATAGATTACACCTACTGATACTTATATTTCCTCTCCCTTTCTGGCCTTGTTGCCCATCTTTCTCTCTCTTCTTCTTTGGTTCAAAGGCTTGATGACCTTCACTGCAATTCCCCATTTGTGCTCTGTTGTATTATTGTTTCATTGGGGCAGGGGTGTTTGTGTTTCTGTATGTGTTTTTTGTTTTATTGTTGTCTTTTGCTGATTACAGTTTTCCTTTTTTACTTTGTTCAGCTGTAAGGAACCTGTTGAGCCATTGACACTTGAAGAAGTGGCCGATCGTTGCCATGCTCCTGAACATGTATGCACAAAATAGTGTTCGAGTTACTTCTTACGCCATGAAATGTCGTGCTAACCTTCTTTGTTTTATGGCTGCAGATTGAAATGATCTACAAAATCATTGAGCACATGGCTGCCAATGACAGAGCACTAATTGCCGAAGGTAATTGTGGTTCACCACATAGCTTAAAGGTTTTCCTCGGGGAGTGTAATGTGGATGAAATGTATGCTTAAGTTGGCGCAACGAAATTCATGTTTCAGATTTTATGTTGTGCTTTCGGTAGAGAAAAAGAAAGCTTCAATAAAATTGGTTTGCCATGTATCTCATTTTTCCTGGGAACCAGGTAGTACCTCTTGTAACATTGTTGAGTTAGAAATAAATTTCCAGTCGCCCTTGTTTATGAGCAAAATTTCCAGGATTCCATCATAGAAGTGCCTTGTACGAGATGTGCAGTGAGATGTCCTCTTTAAACTACTCACCAGCATGCTTTTATAATGCATCCTGATGTGAGGTGTTGCAGCCCTTTGACGGATCTGCACTTCCCAATTTCATCCTCCAAAAGCTAGGCTGGCAAATCCCCCGGGTGTAGTTATAGCTAGCATTGTGATTGTAGGGTTTTAAATCTGTGATTGAAATCAGAATTATAGTCTAAATTGCATTAGAAAAAACTCAAGTCAGATTGAGATTCAAGTTAAAAAGAAAAAGGGATGTTTTACCATAATTATAAATTCACTATTCAATTACACAGTTTTACAAGACACTGCCAATTTCAAGCCTTATCTTCCCATTACGATTTGTTCGAACGTTATGGAATAATATAGCTTCAAATTTCAGATTGGTTTTCCTATGGCTTGACATGCCTCCATCAGCATGGTGAGTGTCCACCTTACCTACCTGCTACTCTTGCTTGTTTGTGTGTTTTGTTCTTCTGTCAGTCACAGCTAATAGAGAGGACCATTTTTCTCACCCATCTGATGAGACTATACGAGTACAAATTTTCATGCAAAGGCAGGCTATATTGTATTCCCAAGAATGCAACTCCTTGTTTTGTTTTTCCTTGGTCGCTCAGCAAATGGAACATCATTTTCCATGTTTCAAATCTTTTCAGGACGCCAATTATCCCTTTCTCTTTAAGACAACAGGTAGGTGACTACCTTTGGTTAGGTCCCATATCAAGAAAGACGGTTCCCACCTTCCCAAAAAACTAACCCTTACCATCTTACATTCTTAAACATTGCTTCTTCCCACTTATAACGCAATTAATTGCATTGACTACACTATTATCATATGTCATCGACCAATCATTCTTGCATGCCTGGGCTCCTTATTTCGAACCAAGATCACAAAAATAATACTCCCCAAAGGGTAAATAAAATAAAAAACCAAGCTTATCTCGTGCAACGGCCATGTTCAAAAAATTTCAAATTAAAGCATGTACTCAGTTCTCCTCTTATACCCGTCAACGTGGAATAATGTATGGGGCCATAGGATAGCACATAGGCAATGGAAAAAATTCAAATTAAAAATCACAAAATGTCAAAAAGCAAATAGCTGCCGTTCATCCCGCATACCTAAGACTATCATCCACGACCAGAGTTGATCATCATGTGACTTCTGTCTTGTCCCCTTTTATTACATCCAAATTTTTTAATTGGAAAAAACGAAGGACATAATAAAAAAAAAAACTAGCAGACGAGGTTAAATACGGAACATATATATAGAGTAAAGAGAAAAAGCGTGTCTGGTTCGTTGGGACCCACCTAACCATGTGATCTACATATAGCGGGAATTTTAGAGTACCCCCCCAAAAAAGAAAAAAGCGTCCCCACTTGCAACGTTCGACCGTTAACAGTAATTTTAATTTAAAGTCCATAAAATAACGGAGTTCCTCTTTGCCACGTCAACTCACCCGTTACGTTTTTTTCTCACCCCCCCACTTCGCTACGTGCGCTTCTTTTTCGCACCTTATACAATTTTTTAGATTCGGATGATTTTCATTTAAATCCTAAACGATGTCATTTTAAAGGAAGTCTCAACGTGAAATTGAACCGACGTAAGACAATCTGGAAAGAAGAGAAACTCGGTAAAAGTTTTTTGCAGAGAAGCTGTGAGTTCTGATTCAGAGCTGAAGAAAGCTTTTGAGCGAAGCAAAGCTTCTTTTTTTTTTGTTTAAGCTTTCTTAAATCTGGATAACCGTTAGTAAATACTATATTCTAAGCTGATCTCTTCACTGGACTTTCTCGTTCTGTATCACTGTTTTCTTTTTCTAAGTTCAAGCTCTGTCAGCTGTGAAACTCTGAACACCGTTTCTTATGTAAGTCTCTGTCGTTCCACTTCGCACATTGCCTGTCATCAGTTTGCTTCATCTTTTTTTTTTATTTATTACTATTTTTAGTTGCTGATTTACTCTTACAAGAGATTTTGATAATGTTGGTGTAGGTTAGAGACTGACCGAAGAACCCTTAGAAATCATGTTCACTGAAGGACTTGACAACAATGCCCTCAAATGGGTTCGAGAGGTTTTTTTTTAATTTTTTTTTTGAAATTATGTTTTCTTTAATTAGAAATTCTCATTAGTTGTTTTTCATTTTCACCAGAAGGAACTTTCATATTCCAATTCTGTCTTAAGGCCTCGAATGGATCCAATTACCAACATCCGTAACGGTGGCCGGAATATTGGCTTGCCACCCGCAGCGAAATTCAGAAGTGGCGCACTTGCCGGCGATGGCGATTCCGGTGACGTCCACTACTTTAACCGATGGGGACGACAGTGCCTCTGCTTCTGAAAATGACGTCACCACTGACTCAGAGGAAGATACTGTTTATGGAGGGAGGTATTCTCTTGATTCTTCTCCACAAGATGAAAGAATTCCCAATGGAACTGCTCATAGATATGGAAATCCGGTCCAAAGGCGGCCACGATACGCCACTGCCAGTGATTACACATATTCAGATGTTAGCTCGTCGAGGGAGACGCTAATGGGAGGGATAGGAGGGAATTTGGGGGATAGGTTAGGGAGAGGGAATGGGAGATATCCTGTTGGGAGGGATGGTTTTACTGAGGAGGATGAGTCTTCCGATTCGGCGGGTAGCTCTGAGTTTTCAACTACACAAGTGGGGAGTATCAATGGTCGAATTCCTCGGAGTAGGACTTATGTTTCAGAAGGGTATGCCTCAAGTGTGCCTTCTCGGGTTAATGTGGAAAGTGCAGCTGGAAAGGTTTGTTTAAATAAAGTTTGGTTTGAATTGTTTAGTTTGATTTTCCAGGCATCGACACAATTCTTCTATTTGATCTTGAAAACATTTGTCTCATTTTGTGATACCTGATAGGTATTGTAGCATATTCATTATTGCTGGAGATGATTGGAGCCTAAGTTTTACATTAATCAAGGTTTACAAAAATAACTTGATGGAAATATGCATACATTGTAGAAAAATACATAAAGATTTAAGTATATTAACTTTACACTAGTTTGGGAGTTTGCTGATGTTTAGAGCAACAAAGGAGAACTCGAGCTAATTCTTTGGTGGATTATATAGGCCGACTCTTAGTAGCTATGCTGGCTTCAGGCATTTAATACTTTTTCATTAGCTAGTCTTGTTACTTTTGTTGTCTTAAGGAGCATGTACTTATAGAACCTTTGTTTTGATGAATGCCATTAGGGCAATCCTTCATAATTATGGGTGGTTTTATGAGGTCAAGGGGGATTATGAACTTCTTGGTTTCAAAATATATGTCCATTAAGACAATGAAGTGATCAGAGCATCTAGTCCTCAGTTTTGGTATCATTTTGAACGTTGAAAACACCTAATAATATATGTATGTATATATATATATATATACTTTTAATCTCTCCTCTGTATTCTCTAGATTTACTTGATTATCTGCTCTCTTATAGTTAATATGAGCTATTTATACTGCTCTTGCTATGATGGTTTCTTCGCAGGATTTGAACTCCAGAAAGCTACAGCATGAAAAGTTCTCTGATGATGATATTCCAAGTGCACCACCATTCTCTGGTTCAGTGCAGGAAGTTAAACAAGATACTGAGCACATACCAGCATCTGAAATACATAGCACCCCTTGTGCAGCAGATTCACTTGATCCAAAGAAATTCAAATCCATCACTGGAGCTAAACCAGAGCAAAACATGAGCAACAGGAAATCTGATGAGTTTGTAAGGTCTGTGCTACGGTTTTGGTAATACTTATTCAATACACTTAATCTGAAAGCACATTAATATATCCAAGTACTGCGTATACAATCTAGTGAACATTAATATTATTTATTCTCTTTGTTCCCAGAAGTGGTGCCGGTGCAGAAACTGCCACTGCATGTTCAGGTGTTCATCCAGCTCGTGTCCCAACATTTCATGCGAGGTATCTCTGACCAATATGAACTCCTAGATATTCCCCTTGACGATAATAGACCTTTGCTCCTGCAGTTTACTCTGTTCACTAACTCTAAGTTGTTTATCATATCAAAATCAGTGCTCTTGGACCTTGGCATGCTGTAATTGCCTATGATGCATGTGTTCGACTTTGCCTTCATGCTTGGGCTAGGGGTTGCATGGAAGCTCCAATGTTTCTGGAAAATGAATGTGCTCTGTTACGAGATACATTTGGGTGAGTTTAATCTCTTGCTTTGTTCTTCTAGAAAGGTAACCTTGACTGATACATTCTCTCGCAGTATTTTTTAAATAAAATTGTTTGTCTTGTTCTAAAATTGCCTCTTCATTTTCTCATCTCATTTCTTGTTTATTGTTTTCGAAGTTCCTGTATGTGTGTTGTGTGTGGCCCTTTTGCTTTTAGTGTGAAAATTCATGCATGCTTATGCTATGCTTAGGTCTTATAACAGCAATTATTTGGATGACCATTGTGTTGAATCCATTAGTCCAATAAAAGTTTTCATAATGCCTGGGAGGTCCAATAAAATGAAAGATCTAGATGACTACATTTACCATCAGCCTCTTAAATTGATGAAAATGCCATCCATATTCTCAGAAGGAAATGGTTTAAAGAATCTTAATCTTTCATTTGGTTCCTTAAAAAATCATGGAGGTTTTGGAATTGTTTATGATTTGTAAATCAATATGCTTTATGTTCTGTTATTTCTTTATTTATTGTTTTTATTTCCCACTAACTTTTGCTCTTACTTAAATCAAAATTTGCTTGTGGACTATAGTTTACAACAAGTCTTGTTGCAATCAGAAGAGGAACTAATGGCAAAGCGCTCTTCAGAGCTTACCAGTGAGGCAGCTGCCCCAAAACCCCAGAAAATTATTGGCAAGATGAAGGTGCAAGGTAAGTTTTCTATCCAGATTTGACATTTTCATTTTTGAGTTGCTTTGTCATGGCTATTTTAAAATTTTCTTTGCTGGCAGTGCGCAAAGTTAAAACAACATTGGA